AAGTATTAAATATATATTGAAATAATATTGATCTATAATAAATTTAATATATTGATTATAATTTATTTATGACTTTATAATAAATTTAAATATTGAATTGGTATCAAAGTAGTATTAAGTAATATTGTTAGAAGTTTTATTCTAATTTGATTGTATTAGTTTCATTTCAATATTTGTTCAATGTTTAAATTTATTATAAATTTATATGAATAGATTATAATTTATATATTAAATTTACCATAAATTAATATTATTTCAATACTAGTTTGATATTTTTTAGAGTTTTGGTTTATAATATAATTTAAAAAATAAAAATTGACCAGAATTATATAGAATTATATAAGATTAGAAATATTATTATAAATAATAACAGAGTATACCTTACTTATTAAATTTAATATAAACTTGAAAATCAAATATAGAATCAAAAAAAATTATTAGAATTATAATATAATATATTTTTAAAAATATAAATTATATTATATATATATTTGAAAATTGTTAGAAATATATATTAAGCTTATAAATTATTAAAGACAGATTAATATCTCTGGAATAAGTTAAAATTATTATACTGATAGTTATAATAATATAATTATTGTTTAAAAAATTTATTATAATTAAAAAAAAATATAACAAGAATTGAATATTATATAAAAAACATTTAAAATATATATTGATCTAATAATTTTATTTTCTAAAATATAATATTACTTTTCAGAATTGCTAGATTGCAATTTAAAATATATAATAATATTAATAATATATCTTTTGATTATTGTTGGAATATAATAATTATTATTTAATTATTATTTTGAAAATTGATATAATATGATCATTGTTTGATTTTTTTAATAAATAATAGATATATAGTAAAATGACTTTGTTTTTAAAATTAATTATATTAAGTTTAATAAATAAAAAAATATGTTTTAATATAATTATAAATATATAATTGGTTATAGGCAAACTATTAATCAATTATCAATAGTAAAAGTATTATTGAATAATACAAATAATTTTTTATATAATTTGTAAAGACAAATATAAAGTATATAATATATTAATGACTTTTTCAATTATTAATAAATATAGAATATAACTGATTAAAGAGTTTAAAAAAGTAAACAAAAAAAAATTCAAGAAAAGTTTAAAAGAAAATAGCTGTTATATACCTTTTTTATACAATCCAAAAAATAAACAAGACTTTTTAACTTGTTGCTTTTTGCCAACAGTTCTATTCTAATATAGTAATATTGATTATTTCTAACATTCTTAGGATTCTTGTAATAAAAATAAAAGTAGTATAGAAGAAGTTTAGATAGTAAAAAGTATATATATTTTTTATATAAATATTTAATTTTAATTTTAAATAGTTTTTTTAATTTAAAACTGTATATTATAAAATAAAATTTATTTTTATATTTTATTTTTTACTATCAAAAAATTTTATATACATTTTTTATTTTTAAAATAAAATTTATTAACAAATTCTTACACAATTTATGATTTTCTTGAAAGACATGTATTAAAAAAATTTTTCTTTTTAATCAATTGTATTTATTTGAAAAAAAAAGATTTTTTTAAAACATATATCGGTTTATTCAATTTTTATTGATTCAACAAAATTTTTATTTCTATTTTTTATAATATATAGAATTATAATATTATTAAAAAAATTTTTTTTAATTTTTATAGAATAGAATTTAAATATTGCACACAATTAAATTAAATATGAAACAAGCAGATGGTCGATATAATCGATATAATAAATTTTTTATTGTTTCCGTTATATTAACTTATTAACTTATTCTTTTTGTTATACCTAATGTAATAATGCAAGAGTATGAAAATAGTTTATAAATTGATTAAAAAATGACAAATAATAAAATTTTATTTTATAAATAAATTTACAGACAAAGCATCATTAAAAAAGAATTGAACAATCCGGTTGGCTTAGCAATGACGCATAAAGAAACCAAATTATCGATACAATTTGGTTAGGTAAAACGTGTCTTAATCAAGAACTTGAGTGTTTAGAGAGCACAAGAAAAATAGAGAAAATTGAAAATTATCACATCGTAGCACATTGTTGAATGAAGTGGACGAGCTTGTCAATTTGTTTGCAACAATATCCAAGTTAACCTTAAATTTAATTTGATACTGAATTTAATACAATATTATGCAATAATTTGTTTTCATTATGCGATAAAAATAAAAACTGTTGTTAATACTTTACATTACCATATAAATTGTTTAGCAGTATATTCAAAGAATTTTGAAAATTCGAAAACTTGATACTTTAAAAAAATCCGTTTTTTTTTAAAAAAAAAGTAAATGAAAATATTTTGGGTTCTCAATACGGGTGACATCTTTATACCATTAATTATTGCGTGATTGATATTTTTCATTAAATGTTTATCCCTTTTTAATCATTTTAATTTACTTTTCTTAAAAAAAGCGAAGAATTAATAATTTTTGTTACAAGTGATCCATACACTTTGGCGGTGAGTGGACGACAAGGTGATTATATTGTTATCCGTTATTGCAAACATGGGTAACGCATTCATACTTGTAGTTAATCTGATGTTTTATTAATTAAAAATTTTCAATAAACAAACAACAGTCGATTTTATCAAAACCTTCCATCCGAACTGAGGATCAATGGAATATATTTTTTGTCACAAGTTTTTTTTTCCCTAAAAGTGCTATGCCATTTACGCTATTTTATTTACCACCTGGCAAAAACCATTTGTCCTTGTATTAAAAATAAATTGTGATACGTGTTCATTCTTTTGTGTCAAATAACACATCGTGCCACCAATAATATAAACAAAAAGATGTTTAATTTGATTGAAAAAAAATAGTAGAAATGATATTGTACAGTATTACGGTGATCCTAATTCGGAAGAGTGGAATTCAAAAAAAAAAAGATTCTGATTGGCGGAATTGGTTTTCGATCTTCAAGGAAATCAAAAACGAAAGGAAAAAGCAGTGACAGGCAAGACTGAAGTGTATATGAAGTACCAATAGAAACGCATTGGTTCTTTGAAATAATTCTTACAGGAGTGTATGCGTGAAAGATCTTTTATAATTCGGATCATTGATAAGACCATTGAAGGTGTATACGTAATAGCCAAGCCTCCGAAATCTAATCAATCGTACATGCTTTGTTATGAATTGTGATGTTTTTTTTTTTGCTATTTTCTGCGAAAAGATTTTGCTCAGAGCATGTTAGTTATCGGTGTGCAGCGATAAACTCTTACATGCGTACCACCTATGCGTGTACTAAGCAAAATTTGAATTACAAGAAAATCATTGGTTACTTAATATTGATTGTTTCCTGCCACAAGAGGGAATCGTTTTGGGCGCTTGGACATAACAAATGAACAAATACTAAATATATCGATACACGTGAGGAAATAGGGATTTCCAATACCGATACGGAAAATATTCCACCTACCACAAATAATATTACTGTTGACATGAACGGGGGGGGGGGGGGGAAATGGCACTGTGCATACATATCGTAAGTTCATTATTAAATTGAGTTTTCGGTTTTTCTAAAAATTTCCCATCCTTCTCCACCAAATACGTACATTTTTCTAAAAATTGTATTAATAGATATATAAGCATGTCGCAGTCTTTAAGAATCGAGCCTGTACGTATAAATTTTAATAAATTAGGGCCTTTTCCATCATTCTGGGTCCGGAAAGCGCTCAATATTTATTATTCCTGAACTGATATCGTCTAGATACCTTACGAATCCAAATTGCCACCGTCAATGCCTGTGAGTTCTCCACCACTGAAATCCCCTTTATTGTCACCGAAGTCGCCACTTAATCCGGCAGGCGTACTTCGTCCAAACCATAGTAAACCAAAGGCAAATCCCATCGTCGATTTATTAGAAACGGAAGATGAATATGTGAAAGACTTGAAAATTTTAATTCAAGTAAATAACAAGTTTTTATTTCAAAAAAAAAAAAAAAAAATGTTGATGTCTTCCTAACGCGAGTTCTACCCTACTTCCAGAGAATTACCACAAGTTGGACGCACGATAATCCACCTCCTCCAGAATTAGACAAAATGTTTTGTTTAATCAATGACATTTTCAAAGAAAACGAGAATTTTTATTCAGTGCGTATTATTTCGATGGCTCAATCTCCAGACTCTTTGCAGGAAAGAAGACACTGACCCCTTTTTACATTTACGCAGAGCTTGAGCAAGATTGACCTGGATCCAAAAAACTTACGATCTGCACAAGAAATTGCGGACGTGTTGATGGTCTGGGTAAGTGATCGATCTTCGTTTGATCATAAACTTTTTGATGATCCTAAAATTGTGTGTCCCTTTGTTCTTTTTTCGATTTTTAGGTTGATCAGATGGAAGGAGTTTACTCAAAGTATTATCAAGAATATAGAAAAGGGTTTGATTCTTGGCCAGAGATTGAGGCAAATGAATCCTTGCAGAAAATTTTGAACGTAAGGAAAAATTATTATTTTATTTTTTTAAAACATGTATTTACGATTCTTTTTATTTTCTCAGGATATTACCACGGAGAAGAACCAGCCAGTGATGCTGGATTACTTTTTCGAACTACCGCTAAAGCGAATTTACTATTACAAAAAACTTTATGCGGTAAGCGATGAAATTTCGCGTTATTAAAAAAAAAAACAAACTTCAATCGATTCGTGGATAAGCCTAATTTTTAAACGAAAATCCTCCAATAAAGCGCATATACAAGAATTCTGAACCTGGAAGAGCAGACTATGAACTTTTAACTAATGCGAATCAACGTATAGACCATTTACTGGAATTAGAAAAGCAAGCAATAAAGAATGCGATCAGACCGCGTGACAAAATTCCGCAAAATATAGAACAGAATGACAGTAAACATCAAAAGAATAGGTCTTTGAGTGCGCCGCAGGAGGCACCTATTTTTACTTTACAAGATTTGGAGGCCACCCTAGATACTTCCAGAGTCGTGGATTTGTTCACCAAGAAGCCAAAGGTCTTGATCTTTATTTCTCGAATTATGCTAAAAAACTACAAAATTGGAATTTGCTTCATTACTTATTCCATTCAAAAAATTTTGAAAATAGCCCATAAAAGTCAATCTTCAACCGCCGCACCTTCCATTCTATCGAGAATTAAAGCTTCACGATGACTTTATAGTAATCCTACCGGATGTCTATAAAGCTCATGTTAAAGCCCACTTGTTCTTGCTTAGCGATCTTTTATTGATTTGTCAAAAGTTAAGTCCAGAAGAGAAAAAAAAAAATCCAACAAAGGAATATTGGTTATTATATCCACCAATGAGCGGAAGACATCTATCGGTGCTCGACATACATGATAACAAAGAAGGTGAGTATATATAGTAAGAGGGTTTCATCTTTGCGCGAAAGCGTTGTAAGTCGTCTAAAAGCTAACAAAATTGAATAAAAATAAATAGATTTGTTCCAGATAACAGTATTCAAAAAAACCGATCTTGTAATATTTGCAGAGAATAAGGGACTCAAGCAAGTTTGGTTGCGCGAAATAGTTGACATGATAGAGTTCACCGTTAACATTGGCGGTAAGAATGATTCATTTTTTCTTAATGTATTTATTTACCTTACTAATTCCTATTCTGATCAACAGTTCTCGCAAGGTCTCCGACAAAACCAGCATACCAAGGAGGAGACAACTATCAACAAGGGGAAAATAATATACCATTAGACATGGTGAAAAAGAGTCCGACCAATGAATATTTCTCTCATCCCAGAACACCTACATCACCCGATTACCCGAGATTTTCTCCAGAATCAGAAGCATCGCATGATCTAGTATCAACTGTTGAAACATTTGACGAAACTCTATTTCAAACATCATCCTGTGCTGTTTCGACTTGGGCAGATGAATGGAAGCCATTGAGTAGCCAAGAAAATTCTTACATTGAGATAAGATTAACAATGGACAGGAAATCTCAGATGATGGTCATATCAGAGAAACGTCAAAAGGTCATTTTTCAAATGTTCATTGATCAATCGATACACGTGGGCCGAGAATCACCATGCATCATAAACGTTGCGCGCGAGATCGGTCAAAGAAAAGATTATTATCACATAAACCTGTCAACATCGTTTGAAGCAGATCAGCTTTTCAAATATCTAACTGATCCTGGGTACCATGGTGCAGGATCAGACGTTCCACCATTACCGCCACCTAAGCCAGAGACCGAATTCGCGCCTCGTAGCTCATCACTTCAGCCACGTGATAACGGCAGCCCCTTGAGAGAAAAAGAGGCTGAAACAATAAGTTTGATGGAATCAAAGTGCCGAATATTTCTAAAAAATGATCATGCGATGTGGACTAATTTTGGATGGGGTATGATGATGGTGTTACTGGAGACTCCATTGAACCAAAAGAGAATTAAGATTATATCGGATAGGCAAAAGAAATCAAAGTTGGTCGATGCGATTATTTGGGAGGCAGGAGTTGAAAAAGTTGGTAAGACCGGAGTCGCAATCACGATAAATAACATTCACGGATCATACGGTGCCGCACCGATCATTTATATGATACAAATGAAAGATGAGGCCACAGCGAATAAGGCATTCAAGATTATGAAGGATAGAACAAAGAAATGATGTACAAACACTGGAGACATATATTGTATTTATATTTTTTTTTTAGATTAGTAATTAACAAACAATGTAAAAGACTATATTTATTTACAGCTTCCCCCATAATTTATCCACATTATATAGTTTTTTTTTGGTTAGGCTTTGCAGGGATACAAGGACTATAGCAAGAAATGGGCTGTTGTGGAGAACACCAAACTATCGTAACAATTGTTTGTTTTGTATTTTTTTAATATATTGTATATTTATTTTTTCTTAGTATAATACGGTTATCTTAAAAAGAACATTATCTATATAACTTATATACTACTGTATACGCCACCCATATTTTTTTTTTCACATAGAATCTCTTCCTCACTCCTGAAAAGTTTATAAAGTTTATGCGGACACCATAGATAGTAACTTCATTCATTAGAGTTCTATATCACTCGCAGATTTTGTATCATAAATTTCTTTAAATGCGTAGTATTTTTTTTATTACATGTAATTGCTACCTCAATAAATTTATTTACTCAGCGTAGCATAATTTTTCTAGTTGAATACGTGTGATTTTAAAAATACAGTAATTGGTGAAAAGCACCGAGTTATAATGACGATTCGGTTGTGCATGCTTTAAACAAATAATAAAGACATGAGAATTTTATAACCATTGATCTTCTGTGCACACTAGTTAAATTGTAACCTTTTTTAAAGCCGTCATTAAGTCAATTTATTTTGTCTTTCATGTTTATACTGTCGCGGGCCAGGGGTCTATCAGCAGTAACGGCGAAATCCTAGACTTCGTGACACTTCGACAGGGGTATCTGTTATAACAGGGGGGGCTTAAAGGCAGAAAGAGGCGTAGATTTGGCGAGTTTGTGTATTTTATTGATCAGAACAGTGCGGTAAGTAAGTCGATTTTTAACTAGTGAACACTCTTTTATTAACTAATTTTTTTCCACTTTTCTTCTACTACGTTTCCTTACATCGTTTTTATACTTTTCTTACAGCAAAAGAAAATAAAAGAAATAAAAGAAATAACAAAAATAAAAGAAATAACGAGGTTGAAGATCGATTACCCCTCTATAATGCACGATCATCGTTTCTCAATTCTAAGCTATATCGTCGATCACCGTTTTCCCGTAACAATACGTATTTGATATAAATCATCTTTTATATATTTTCCGTTACTTTCATACTTTATATTTTTGCACTTTTGCACTCTTTGTGCTTTCATACTTATTTCAAAAAAACCGATGTTATCTTATAATTCTCCCATAATCAACATACTTGCTCAAATATCACACCTTTAATCGAGTTTTACACATGCTACATTATATGAAAAAAATCCAACCTCTGTAAAAAAAGTATTGCATCATGGTATCAGAGAAAATGCACCTTTAACAATATAATATATTTTTTATTTACAATTAAGTTGGTGTAATATATTTATTAAATAATATTAAATTATTACAAATAAATCTTTTTATAATTAAGATACTTGACCAGATATTATATTTTTGATTGCGTATTAAATATAATTTATTATATAAAAAGGCTATCTGATTCTATAGATAATATATTGCATTGTGATATCAGTAAAAATAATCAAATTGCTTTTGCTTTTGTAACATTATTTTTTCAATTTTTTAATAAATTTTAACAATTGAATTTTATCATTTAATATTATGTATTTAGAAAATTATATAGGTAATAAATTTCTTCTTATAAATTATTATCAATCAGTAATTTAAATTTTTAATAATTTTAGTTGGTTGAAATTTTTTTATTATTAAATAAATTTATAAATAATTAATATTAATTTTTCGAATTTAAAAAAATAAATATTAATTTAAGATATAATGTTTTATAATTAATTTTTAGATATTATTTAATATATAAAATTTTACAAATTAATTTTATTCTTTTTGAAAAAAACATATCATTTACTTATTATTTTAATAAAAAAATATTTGGATTAAATAATTTAAATTGTAAAAAAATTTGTAAATAGTTTTTAATCTTATTTAATTTAAGAATTTATATTTACACATCATATACAGTATATTGTAATTTTTTGAAGTTATGATATAATATAATTTTTTTTGAATTTTTGAATTATTTTTTTATTATTATTATTTTTTTGTTCTATGTAAACATCATGTCTTTATTTGATTTGTATATAGCAT